GGAGCACGTTCCAGCATGCATGCAGTCACTCAGCTAAGGCTGACTCCCTGCACTCACTCTGTGCAGACAGGCCCTGGGGCTCATCAAGGTGTCCTGCCCCTGCCCCGGGCTGGCAGTCTAGAGGACATGGCTTTCTGGACCAAAGGCTCTCACTTTCTAACCTGTGACAACCGCCCGAGAGACACTGCGGCTCCCCAGGCAGGCACTGCTGCACAAAGCCCCAGAAACACGCCCAAGGTGAAGCCGCTTGCCTCCTACCCCTCGGCGCTGCAAGACACCCGTTCTCAGTGTGACGGGGTGAGAGACCCAGCCCACGAGGCCATCAGGGTCCACAGCGGCCCAGAGCATGCAAACCCCTACGCAAAGGAAGGATGACTTGGCAACAGCACCCAAACGATTTATGCTCACGTACATGTTCACAGCTGTGGTTTATGTCAGAGAGCCAGATCTCAAGGCTGGACGGGCCTTAAAGGGGTTCGGAGTGAGCCCCCTCACAATGGCATCTGCTTACACACCTGCAGGAACGGGGAGCTCACCCCCTCACAGGCAGCCTTGAGCATCAGAAAGTGCTTCCTCAATATGTCTCGCCATGGATCCCACCTCTGGGTCCCAGGTAGGGGCAGAAGGAAAACCCTAAAACCTAGTACATTTAGGGCAAGGACACCCAACCCCATCTGCTGGCACTGGTGACACCGGGGCCACGTCATTCTCTGTGGGGGACCGTCACAGGCATGGCAGGGGGCTGAACAGCATCCCTGGCCCCCACCCGCTCCATGCCAGAACACCCCCACTGTGACAACTATAAATATCCCCAGACATTGCCCCCGGTGGAGAACCCCTGGTTTACAGGAATCCTCAGGGGGGAGAGTGGTTTCCCTCAGGCTCAAGAGACCAGTGCTGACCTTTCTCTTACTGTTCAGTCTTCCGTAAGGGCAGCCAGACAAGCTCCGAGCAGCAGTCTGCCCCTGCCCTCGCTCCCTCATCCTCCCCCGATGCCACCTTCAACCCAGCCCGCCTCTGCTTACTCCTCCTTATTGTAGGGCACGGTGCAAATACAGCCTGACACATCCCACACAAACCAGTGGTTCCTTTCTCTGGACAGAGCATGTGCAAAAAGGCATGGGGATCTGGAAGGAGCGGTTGCTGCCCTACAGAACCGCACAGAGGTTCGGGGAGGCTGGGTGAGGCCATGCTGGGGGCAGGAAGAGGGAAAAGTAAAGCCAGAAGAGCAGTCTCCCGGGCGGTGTCCTAGGGCTAGCGGCAGGGGGTGGGACAGGACAGGGAGCGGGGAGTAGCAGGAGCTGTGCCTCTGTGCGCCGAAGGTGGCATCACGCGCAGACCAGGCAGAGCACTGGGGGGCAGGGGGAGCAGGACCATGCCTGCCCGGTCCAGGTGAGGAAGCGGGCGGTCCAGAGAGGAGGGGCCCCATGAGAGGCCGGGCGCGGGAAAGGTTCAAGGAAAGAGTGACCTCTTCTGGGCTACCTCAACCCAGGTGCCTGCAGGACACCCAGATGACGACTGGCACTGGCCACGTGGGCCTGGAGTTCTGGAGCCAGCCTCGGGCAGCAGCGGCAAACGAGGACAGGAAGTGAAGTGTGCCCGCCAAGAAAGTGTGCAGACAGCAGAGAAGCATCTGAGTTCAGATCAAAAACAAGGGTCACCACACAGGAACCCGCACTCCACTGTTTGCAGTGGCTCTCGTCCCAACAGGCAAAAGGTGGACACGGTCCAAATGTCCACCCAACACGCAGGCACAGCCCTCGGCCTCGGATGGGCCAGGCGCCCACACGCGTGCCCCCAGGGACGGACCCTGAGCCCACGACGCTCAGGGAGGGAACCAGACACAGAAGGCCGCACAGGGTGTAAGTCCACGTGGGTGACACGTCCGGAACAGGCTCATCCTGACAGAAAATGGGGCAGTGGTTGCCGGGGCTGGGGAGGGCAGAGGACTGATGGGTAAAGGGGAGGAGGTTTGTTTGGATGAGAATGTTCTGGAATTAAGGTAATAGATGCAAAAGCTGGAAACCACTGAACTGTGCACTTTAAATCACTAAATCACACGGCATGGGAATTCTATCTGAATAGATCTGTTAAAAACAAAAATTCAGCAAATAATGAAAAGGAGAGCCAGGGAAGGAGGCTGCTCGCTGACGGAAGGTGGAGGAAGCCAGGAAGAGAGTGGAGTCCACAGTCCACTTTCGGGGGTCGAGGACTAAGCCACTCGAGGCTGCGGGGCCGAGCCGTGTGCTCCTGTCCCAATCTCAGGCGAGGAAGCCACAGTAGGAGAAAGCAGTCACTTGCCAAGGACACAAGGATGCATGGCGGTTGGGGGCACGAATGTCCCCTGTCCAGAACGTCAATGCCACACGAGAAGGAGCTCTGATTGTGTGCGAGTCGCAGCGCCGGACAGAAGGAAGGAGCTGCAGGACGCACCTGGCTCCAACTGCCCACCGCCTGCAGCCACTCCGCACGCACCAAATCTTGGGCAGGTGGAGTGAGAGGTGGCCAGGGCAGTAACGAGTGGACCTGACAAGGGGGAGGCTGCTGGGGCCTATGATGGATCAGAGACTGGACGGCGGGAAGCTGCTAGGCAGAAGAGGGGCGGCCTACTATTCCCTCCCCAGCTCTGAAGGCCATCAGCTCCCTGTGCCAACTCCCAGAATGGGCCAAACGTACCCTACCCTCTGGCTGTCCCCGCCCTTTAGCACTCACTCAAGCCAGGGTTCTTGAGCTCCAGTCTTACAGGGCGCAGAGTCCCTGCCCTCACAGGGCTCCTGGACTGAACTCCAGTCCCAGGTCTCCCCCCTTGGCACTGCTGATATTTGCACTGGGCGGAGGGGTGGGAAAGCAGCATCCCTGACCCCACCCACTCGATGCCAGGAGCACCCCCAGTCGTGATCACCACAGACACCCCCAGACAGCACCAACGTCTCCAGTGGAGAACCTCTGCTCTAGAAGAGAATTACAACGGTAGTGCCATTTCGCTGGTTCCTAAAAGACCAAGTCCCTTGATCCTGACACCTGACATGAGTCTCCAGGATCGGCCTTCCGAACAGAACCATTTGGGATCCTCACCCTGCTGCTCAGTGCTACCAAGCAAAAGGTCCCCACGACCAACCCGACTCTGGTCCCCAAATCCGCCAGGCCAGAGGCCCCAACAAACAGCACTGGGAGATTTCCTGCTGAAAGAGAGGGCCTCGTGTGAGAATGGAGGCAGACTGGCTTCTGAAGACTCATCGCCTCCCCATCTGCTTCCAGGCACTTCTCCCCTAGCCCCAAACAGCCACTGCCACCGGCTGGGCCGGCGGGGGGGGGTGGGGGGGTGGGTTGAGATTTCCCCGGGGAATTAGTCATGGGGCCCAAATGGCCAACACAGCTAGCTCCCTGGACACTGCCCACCACCCAGCAAAGCAACTGTCCTTTGAACCAAGAGCTGTCCAAGGGCCAGAAGGCTGGTTTTCAGAGGGGGAGAGCCCATAATCCTCAACAAAACCCTCTTGGAGCAGTGGAACCTTGTTCACTCGGAAAGTGGCCTTTAACAGCCAGCACACCTGCTTGCACTCTGGGGCTTAGAAGGCACGCCAGTCTAGTAGTTTCTGTTGAAACAGAAGGGCCCATGACCTCAAAGGCCAAAATGGCCCATGAGAAATTCTGCAAGAACAGCCTAGGATGTGTTCTAGGGGACAATGCACCACTCTGGGGGCTGTCCCCAGGAGATCTCATCAGCCTCTAGTGTGCAAATCCCCTCCCCCCACCAGGAGAGACCACCCAACCTCCTTCATTTCAAAGACCTTCTCACCTGTCCCCAATCTGGGGTAAGGGGAACAGCTGTGTATGTTGAGATGGATTGTTTTTCTTTTGGTAAATCCTCCCCATCTAAAGTATAGTAAGAAGCTGGGGGGGTGGAGGGATGGAGGGTGTGGTGTAGCCTCGCCAGAGGGAGGCATGAGGTCATCACTCTGTGAACTGGAGTGGGGTGGGGGTGGGAGGCTAGTTCCTAGCATGACAGGTCCCTGAATGAGGGGAGGATTTCCAGGGGAAAAGAACAGGGAAAAACGAAACAGGTCTAGGCTAGACAGCTGCGCAGCGGAGGGTCTCCGGCTTTGGGTTGGGGGCAGGTCTAGACAGTGCAGGACCAATGGGTGGGGGTCTGCAGTTTTTAGTGGGGGAACATGGCTGTGATGGGAAGAAGCATTCCACACCCGGGGGCTCCCGGATGTCGGGCAGGTGCTTACAGGAAAAGGCAGGATGGTCCGGGATGGGAGGGTAGCGGGGCAGAGACAGGTCGTCTCAGATTTTGGTGGGGTCAGGGCCCACATGGAGAGCTTGACACAGGCTGGATGGCAGCTGGAAAGGGTCAAGCTGGGAGGCTGGGGGCACAGATGGCAGTGGGGTTGGGAGCAAAGGCGTCACTGATGCACTCAAATGGCAATACCTAAGTGCTTCTGGGTGCCAGGAACCCCGAGGGGCGCCCACACAGACAAGGTCTCCACACCTCCTTCTACTTGTTTCAGGGGCCACAAAGCGGGGGAAAGGGGCCTGGTTCGAGCCTGGCTGTGTCGTGACAGCCGTGGGGGGCAGTCTCGATCCGGGCAGGGCCTGAGCTGGGATGGTCCCAATTTGGAAGAGGCGGGTTCGAGAGGCCAGAGATGAAGAGCCGTTCTGGGGGACAGCTCGGCCCCGTTTACAAGCGGACCTCGGACCTAGCTGCGGGGGGAGTGCTCGGGCTGCAGGTGGCTCGGGCTGGGGCGCTCATACAGGGCCGGGTTTGGGGGGTGAAGACGGGAGTGAGATGCGGAGGTCACCCCGGGCCTAGCTCGGCACGGGGGGCTGGCCGGCTCCCGGAGGGCCCGAGTGTGGGGGCCGCTGGCTCGGTGTCGGGGCGGAGTGGGGGGAGGCCCGCGCCGCCGTCGGGCCCTGCCCGGCTCGGGGGTGGGGGGGATAGCTCTGAACACACTAAAACCCAGTGAATTATGGTCCCCACACCCCGGCCGCCTCACCTGGCTCGCTCCGGTCGCCCGCTGGCTCCGCCGACCCCGCCTCTCCCGGCGCCGCGCCGCGCCGGCCGCTGCCGGCCGCAGCTCCACTGGTCCCGCCGCGGCCGCCGCCAACGGGACCCCGGGCTCCGTGCTCCTTAATATGGCGGCGATCGCTGTTCCGCGGCCTCCCGGAGCCCTCCTCCACCGCGCGCGCTCCCGCGCCGGCGCGCTGCGTGCGGCCGCCACGCCCCGCCACGCCCCCTCGCGCCCGGGCCTCTCGCCGGGGCCGCGCCCCGACCCGCCCACCCTGCACGACTGCGCCTGCGCGCGTCGGGCATCTCGGGAGGACGTGACGTAGGGGGTGATTCGAATCAATACAGGAAGCGCGGCGCCACGCGTTGCCATGGGCGACCGAGGCCGGCTGGATCGCCCCCGCCCAGAGGAGCCCAGTTGCGTGGGATCTGCGGGAGTGGCTCTGCTCAGTTAGGACGCGGCTCTTAGGGGACAGTCGCAGGGCCGGGCACTCAAGGGCAGACAGACCCACGCCCCATGAGGGCAGGCGCACTGCGTGATAAGCGCAGATAAGCTCGACAACAGGTGCATGTCTGGGCCGGGCCAACCCCACTGCCTGCGGCAGCGCATTCATTCAGTCGGCCAGCATTTACTGCGCTCCTACCCAGTGCTCGTCCAGGCCCTGGAAGCAGGGCCCAAATCCTAATCATCTCTGCCCACCCCCCACCCCCTAAATGGGCAGAGGATCCAGACAGACATTTTCCAGAAGAAAAGAGATGACTGGCCAAGAAGCTCACGAAAAGTCGCTCACCACCATTACTCATCAGGGAAATGCAAGTCACAACCAGTGAGCTCCCACTTCACTCCTGCCAGGGCGGCTACGAGAAAGGAACAGAACAGGAAGCGAAACCAGGAAAGTGTCGGTGAAGATGCGGAGCAACTGAGCCCCCCTACGTCGCTGGTGGGGTGGAAAATGGGGCCGCCACCGTGGAGGACGGTCCGGCAGCTCCTCGGAGAGTTACCCGCTGGATTACCAGAAGACCTAGAGATTCCTCTCCTAGCTATCCATCTACCCAGGAGAATTGAAGTCGTGTCCTCATAAACATTTTTACACGGATGTTCAGACAGTTATTCACAATAACCAAAAAGTACAAACAACCCGGGTGTCTATAACGGATGGTTGGGTGGACAAAAGGCGGTATATCCGTGTCGTGGCATGTCGCGTGGCGGTAGAAAGGAGCGATGCGCTGAATGCCCTGCCGCGTGGATGAACCTGGCAAACACGATGCCCCGTGACAGAGGCCGGACACAAAAGGCCGTTGTGTTGTACTGTATTTCCCCGCTTATATGAAATGTCCACAATGTCCGGGCAAATCTGTAAAGGCAGAGAGTAAGTTGGTGGTTGCCGGGAGGTTGGGGGTGAGGGAGGAAAAGGCATAGGGAGTGACTGCTAGGAACTTTCTTGCTGGGGTGATGGAGTGTTCTAAAATTGATGTCATGATGGTTGCATAGCTCTGAACACACTAAAACCCAGTGAATTATACACTTTGAGTGGATTTTAGAGTATGTAAATTGTATCTCAGTAAAAACGGTCATAAAAAAAAAAATTCCAGTCTGCCTGGAGCTGAAGCATGGAGAGTAATGTAATAAAAGAAGGAAAGATGGGGTGAGGGATTAGAGTCTCAAACACAGTCGATCAGGGACATTTGGGCAAAGGTTTGAAGGAAAAGAATATACCATGGAATGACACATGTTATGCAGTGCACCTTTATCTGATTTCAGTGAGCTCCGGAAAGCACCATAGGATCTAGAGCAGTGTCATCTGATAGACACAAAACATGAGCCACTATAAGTAATTTTAAATTTTCTTGTAGCCACACTTATAAAATACCAAGAAACCACTGTGATTAATTTGTTGAATTAACATGTCAAAAATATTTACATTTCAATGTTTTATCAAAATCATTTATCAGTGAGATATTTGCTGTTCCTTTCCTCTTAATGTCTTAAAACCCAGTGTGTATCCGCTTCCGGCCCATCTCCGTATTGGGGCTAATTTTCATTGGAAATACTTGATCTCTATAATTTATAAAATTGACAGTGGGACAAGTAGATTCACGTACCCCAGGTATTCCAAGCATGCTTAAAACGTTTCCAATAACTGAATCAAATATCATCTTTTTCCACCTCTATTTAAATTAAATTTTAAAAATTAGGGGCGCCTGGGTGGCTCAGTCATTAAGCATCTGCCTTCAGCTCGGGTCATGATCCCAGGGTCCTGGGATCGAGCCCTGCATCTGGCTCCCTGCTCCGCGGGAAGCCTGCTTCTCCCTCTCCCACTCCCCCTGCTTGTGTTCCCTCTCTCACTGTGTCTCTCTCTGTCAAATTTTAAAAAATCTTAAAAAATATATAAAAATAAAAATAATCGGTTCTGTAGCTACACTGGCCACCTTTTTTTTTAAAATTTTTTTTTTTTTTTTAATTTGACAGAGACACAGCAAGAGAGGGAACACAAGCAGAGGGAGTGGCAGAGGGAGAAGCAGGCTTCCCACGGAGCAGGGAACCAGATGCAGGGCTTGATCCCAGGACCCTGGGATCATGACCTGAGCTGAAGGCAGAGACTTAACAACTGAGCCACCCAGAAGCCCCCATGTCGATTTTTCAAAAGAAAAAAATGCATGAAAATATTACTGATTTATGTGCTGAAGTTTTTGGCATCCGCTTCAATTCGGGGCTCACCTGCCACACTGCTTAACAAACACTTTCCTCTCTCTGGTTCCACTTATTTATTTTTATTTATTTTAGACAGTGCATGCACAAGCAAGGGGAGGGGCAGAGGGAGAAGCAGGCTCCCCACTGAGCAGGGAGCCCAATGTGGGACTTGATTCCAGGACCCCAGGATCATGACCTGAGCCAAAGGCAGACACTTAACCAACTGAGCCATCCAGGCGCTCCCTTTTTTTTTTTTTTTTAAGCAGAGGTTCCTATTTTTGAAAAACTAGAAGTCCAGAGGGGTGACAGAGCCTGGCAAACATTCTGTAAGTCGCTCCTGAGGTCTGCCCTGGGCAGTGAGAAGAGGCAGAGCAGGAGCCCAGATGAATTCTCTCACTCAGCCTGGCTTGGGGCAGGGGCCGGGCCGACCCCCAGCCTGACATCAGAAGTATAACAAAGGGTTATGGGTTTCATTGCATCCCCCCAAAAGGCATCCCCCAGTACCTGGGAATGGACCCTTATTTGGAAATAGGGTCTCTGCAGTCAGCAAGTTAGGACGAGGTTATACCAGAGTGGGGGTGGGCCCTGCATCCAGTGGGCAGTGTGCTTATAAGAGGGGAATCTGGACACAGACAGAGAAAGAGGGGAAGGCCATGTGGGGACGAGGCAGACACTGGAGAGATGTGTCCACAAGCCAAGGAAGGCGGAGGATTGCTGGCAACACCAGAAGCTGGAGGAGACAGGGAGGATCCTTCTCCAGAGGGCTTAGAGGGAGCAGGGTGCTGCTGACACTTTGAGCTTGGACTCGCTCAGGTGTAAAGGAGCCGCAGAACGAAAGGCATGATGTCTGCGTTTAGCACAGATGTCTGTCCTGCTACCAGTCTGTCGCAGGTCTGTAGGTTCAAGATTCCAAGTTTCCTGACGTATACAGGTCTTGCTTTTGGGTGTGGCTTCCCATATCTGCTTCCTGCACCCTTGGGTCTATCTCCTTACCCCCAGCACATCCTGGGGGCCAATCATACCTGGCACTCTGCCTGGAAGCCTTCCAGAGTCAACACAGTGCCTGGCCCCTGGGGAGGTCCTGCATGAGTATTAGCCTGAGCCATAAAACACGGTCGAGATGGTGTCCTTGCTGGCCAGCCAAGGTTACCGCAAAGTCAATCCAGAGTCAGCTCTCAGACACATAGGAAGACAATAAAAAAATAAAATCAGGGAGTGCCCGGCTGGCTCAGTCGGTAGAGCAGGTGACTCTTGAGCTCGGTGTTGTGAGTTCAAGCCCCACGCTGGGTGTGGAGATCACTTAAAAAAAAAAATCAAGACGTCAGCTCCAGGAGACCAGAGACTATCTCGTTCTATGTCCTCTGTGCCTGGGACCGCCTGCCACACAGTAGGTGTTCAATAAATATTTGTGAAATGAACACCTGAATGTTTAAACCAATAGTTGGTCTGTTAAGTGACTCCTTTGTTATGCATGGCATTTTTATGTTTTCAATTGCCCACATTTATTATTTTTTTAGTTTATCTTCTTGAGAGAAAGCACATGCGCTCATGAAGGGCAGGGGAGGGGCAGATGGAGAGGGAGAAGCAGACTCTCTGCCGAACAGGGAGCCAGACACTGGGCTCGATTTCTGGACCCCGAGACCATGACCTGAGCCAAAGGCAGACACTCGACCAACTGAGCCACCCAGGCGCCCCGCGCACATCTCTTATGAGAGCTGGTACGTCAAATCAATTGCTGTCTGTCCTCCCTTAAAAACGGGAACATCCAGCCACGCAGGTGCACCTGCCCCAGTGCCTTGTGCTTTCTGCCTGGCCCAGGAAGCAAGAGAAAGCCAAGAGCAGAACCGGAGTGGCCAGGCGAATTTTGTCCCCGGGTAAAGCAGCTGCCTTGTGCAGGCTGTTTCCTCCCTCTGAAGGGGCCACTGTCACCGTCCCGAACAAATGTCAAAGTAAATACCATGGTAAAACATTCCAAGTAGCACAGGGAGGTATAAGATTGAAAGTACTTTGGGTAAATGCTTGGATATTTTTTTAAAAAGTCACCCATGTGTAATTTACATACATAACTCCATTTATGCAAATGAGATCGCACGAGTCGGCTTCGCCTGCTTCGAGTTTTGGAGGTCAATCTTGGACTGCTTTCCTGTAACACAGGAAGGTCTTCCCATCCTTCTGAGGGTCTGATTGTTAGCGTATAAATGCACCACTGTTTAAGCAGTGCCCCTGCAGACAGGCATCCCTCAAATATTTACCTGGCATGTCTCGGTGCTAGGGATCCACTTAGTGATGTGCGGGAGCCCGTGAGTACTGACTACAGAAGTCATGGTCAGCAACTGCACGAGTGGACCATGGTGGGAAGATTTATTTACTTATTTATTTTAAGATTTTATTTATTTGACAGAGCATGAGCGGTGGGGAGCAGCAGAGGGAGAAGCTGAACAGGGACCCCGATCTGGGGCTCCAACCCAGGACCCTGGGATCATGACCTGAGCCGAAGGCAGCCGCTTAATGACTGAGCCACCCAGGGGCCCCATTGTGGGAAGATTTAAACTATGGGAACTGGCAAACGCTACAGACTAGGGCTTTATTTTTATTTTCCAGATTGCTCCTTTACCACCACACGACTGTCATGTCATGGACAACAAAGCAGACAAAACCCCTGCTCACATGGTGCTTATTCTAGTGGAGAAAACAGGCAATAAACGAATTAAGTGTGCAGGAAACTATAGATGCTATGGAGAAAAAGGAAGCAGGGAACAGGATAAAGGAACATTAGGAGGTCATGATGTCAATGCCAAGTGCTCCAGCAAGCCTCAGCAAGGAGGTGATGTTTGAGGAAAGGAGCAAATGTTTCATTGAGGGAGTAAACATACGGGGAAGGAAAAAGGTTCCAGGTAAACAGCACATGCAAAAGTCCTGGGGCAGGATTGGGCCTGGCCTGTTGGAAAAACATTGAGGAGGCCTGATTGGCTGGAGCAGAGTGGGCGACAGAGAGGGGCGGGGCAGGGCAGGGGCGGGTCGTTAAGGGCCTTGTGGGCCTTGGGGAGGACTTCGGCTTTTCCCCCAGGGAGGGAGGGACCTGGCTCCGGTGCTCCCCCGCGCCCTCTGGTGGCCGCTGCGGGGAGGACGGACTGGGGGGAAGGGAGGTGGGGGCGGGGGGCGGGGCAGAGGGGATTGGGCAGGTCCAGGCAGGCGATGGCGGTGGCTGGGGGCAAATAAGAGATCTGGATTTTAAACTGATTCAACCCCGATGTTTTTAGGCTGAGCCCCTGGAATGATAGTTCCCACTTCCTATGGGAGGAGCAGCTTTGGGCGGTAACGTGAGGGATCCTAAGAACACACTATGGGACGCCTCACCAGTATCTAAGTGGAGACGTAACAGGGCAGCCGGACCCCGAGTCTGGAGCTCAGCGGAGGCCCAAGCTGGAGACAGGACTGTGGGCATCGTCCTGCCATAGACCGGGGTGCGGGGGGAGAGTGGACGAGGCTGCCCGGAGGGGAGCGGCTGGGGAGGGAAGAGGCCCGAGGACCCAGCCTGGGCACCGGGGGAGCGGTGAGAGGTGGGAGGGGAGGCTGGTCCCACGAGAAGTTCCCAGGAGAAGGAGGGGGCCAGGCCAGTGAGACACTGCCCGAGGGGGAGGACGACAGAGACTACGACAGGTCTGGGGACAGGAGGGCAGAGCCTGGCTGGTGCCGGTAGGAGGGAAAGGCGAGCCGAGGGAGGCAGTCGGGGTTTGGCTCTTCCTGGGGCTCTTGCTGGAGAGAGAAGCACAAAGTGGGCAGGAGACAGAACCTGGGGATGCTGTGAGGTCAGGAAGGCTTGTTTTTAAGAAATTCCCACAGTCTCTGCTGCTGGGGACAGGTGACTCTGAGGAGAGCAGGGAGGGTGGCTGGTGGGCCAGTGGATGAGGTGCCTGTGACACTGAGGTAATAGGGAGTGTGTGTCCCGGGCCCCAGCCCCTTTTAAAAGTCTGTAACTTCCTGGGGAGCCTGGTGGCTCAGCTGGTTGGGCGACCGACTCTTGGTTTCAGCTCAGGTCGTGATCTTGGGGTGGGATCGAGCCCTGTGTCAGGCTACACACCTAGCATGGAGTCTGATTGGGACTCTCTCTCTGCCCCTCCCCCCCGCTCTCTCTCTAAAATAATAAATCTTAACAAAGTAAAATTTAAAAAGCCTGTAACTTCCTGAGAGGCAAGGGCCAGAGAAAGAGGAAGGCCTTCCCACCACACTTGGGCTCACCAACAAGGCCTGGGACTGCGGGCTCACAGGTGGCTTCAGGATGGGGCTGGGGTCTGAGGAAGGAGGGACTTTCAGCCACACCCTCGGCCCTGGGGGAGAATCACCACTGGCCACCTATTGAATCAACCTTGCCTGCACACGGAGCCTCCACAAAATCCCTAACCAAGGGACTCAGAAAGCTCCAGGGCGGGCGAACGCATCCCTGTGGCAGACGGGGTTGTGCCCCAAACTCCACAGGAAGAAGCCCCTGCACCTGGGACCCCTCATCTGGTTGCTTGTGACATCCTTTATAAGAAACGGGCAAGTCAAGTGCTTTCCTGAGCTCTGGGAGCTATGCGAGCAAATCATTACCAGAGAGGAGGGGACCCCAGGGGGTCTGCGTGAACTTGGGCGGTGAGCATCAGAACTGAATTGAATTGTAGGATGCCCACGGAGAGATGACTTGCTTAGGGTGGAGACCTCGCATGCCTGGTGTCAGAAAGGCCAGGAGGAGAAGGCTTCAGCGTGGCAGAACCAGCTCACAGTCACGGCACCTAAGGACCCCCACTCTGGGCACCTATGCCCTCATGTGACCGGTCAGGGATGTTGTCGGCCGGCAGACAGCAGCAGGCGGAATGTGTCCCACGTGAGATCAGGTTCTATGGTTACGCCTATTTTATGGCCGGGAAACAGGGTGTTGAAGGCCGCGCACGGAGAATGAGGCGGGCAGCTGGGACGGGAACCCATAGCCTGGGCTCCTAGCCACAGCACTAAACCCCAGTAGGGACTGGGTGAGACTGAGCGTGTGGGGAACCCAGGCTGGGAGTGGGCTGGCTAGAGAGGAAGCCAGGGCATGGGCCTGGAGCTCCTCAAACACCCCGGCCCCCGCCCCGAGATGTTCCTTGAGAGCAGCCCTGCAGAGCCCCCAACACACTCTGAGAGGCATGGCTTGGCAAAAATGATTTAATAGTCCGTTTGGACCCCAGGGTCTGCTTGTCCCTCCCCAGCCCCCGAGCCTCTGACAACCTTCCCACCCAGCCTAGTCCGGGGCCGGGGAGTCAGAGGCCCCAGGGGCAGCCCTTGGAAGCCCCAGCCCCTGGCTAGGCCTGAGGGGCTTGGGTTTGCCCATAGCGCCTTTCCGGGCGCCCCTGGCTCAAGAGGCGGGGTCAAGGCAACCCCAACTTCCCTGAGCATCGCCCTGGCCTGCCCCCTTAGACCCCCGTTCCCGTGCCAACACCCCCCCCGCCCCGTGACCAGAAACCCAGGCGCTGCAGCCCTGCGCCAGGGCCCCCGTGGGGGACACAGGACACCTCAGCCTGGTCCTGGGGGAGGACACAAAAGCAGCCAGGTCAGGCCAAGCAGACAGCCCTGGGTGGGGGCGGGGAAGCCAGACCCCATCTGCACGAGCTCGGTCTGTACGCAGCTCACGCCGAGTCCTGCAGGGCGGGCGGCTCTAGGAGCGGCGCGCGCGCAGCTGCTCCAGCCCAGAGGCGTACTGGAAGGCCGACCCGGCCTCGTGCTCGTACACGTCCAGGGCCACCTCGCAGCTCTCTCGCACCACGCGCTCGGGGTCGGCCGCGTGGGCCCGCAGGGCGGCCAGGCAGGCGGGCCGGGCGATGGCTCCCAGGGCCTCGGCGCACTCGTGCCGCACCATGGGGTTCTCGGCCCGCTGGGCCAGGCTCGCCGCCAGCTGGGGCACGGCCGCCTCGTGCTGCAGCTGGCCCAGGACGTAGCCGATCTCGTGGCGGAAGAGGGCGCTGCCACAGTGCAGGCCTGCGGGCAGGGGTGGGGGGGCGAGGGCAGTCACGGGCTGGGCGGCGCCGGCGGGGCAGAGCGCCGGAGCGCAGGAAGGAGCAGGTGCAGAGGGGGTCCCCCGCCCCAGCCCCGGTGGCCAGTGCCGCTCCAAGGGAGGGACCTGCGGCCAGACGGGCAGGAGAAGCTGGAGCACGGGCTGGCAACAGCTCCCCGCCAACAGGCGCTGGGAACACAGCGCTGCCCTCTGCAAGGCCAGACGGGGCAGGCGTGGCTTCCCGGGCCCAGGGTCTCCTTCCAGCTGTGCCCACCTCTCCTTGGGCCTCTGTGTTACGCTGTCGCTTGTTTAATGAGGGGACAGTCATGAGCACCCTCCCCCCCCACCACAGACAGGTCACGCTTCACACTGATGGGGAGCCCCCGCTGGGAGGGGCAAGATGACTGCCCAAGACCAGAGGCCCGTGAGGCCGAGCCAGGGCTCGAGGCCACCTGCTCGACTGCAGCCCCTGCTTCCAAGCACCAGCCACCCCACTGTGCTCCTGCCCGGCACCACCTGGGGCTCCCACCCTGTGGCCCAGGGTCCGGGCGATGACCAGGCATCTCCCTGCCAGACAGGAAGTTCTGGGAGTGCAGAGAGGGCTCCAAATCCTCTGCGGGCACGCCCCGGGCACAGGGGCGCAGGGGCGCAGGGGACCACGGACTGCCCGGGGAGAGGCCTGCAGAGCAGCCTGTGGAGCTGGGAGGAGAGCGACTCAAATCACGATGAGAGAAAGGGGCTAAGGGTGCCGGAGCCACACTGCCGGGGACCAGATCCCACCTCCGCTGCTCGCCAACCACTGTCTGCTCAGGCAACCCTCTGGCTTTCTGGCCTCAGCTTCCCCCCGGGGAACTGGCAGGAAGGGTGCCCGCCCGCTCCCCAGGTCACTCTGTTGCTCCCTCTCACAGGCGCAGCTCCTGAGCCTCACCCAGGCGCCCTGACCGGGACTCCCCACCTCCCAGCCCCAACTCACCCTCGGCCAGCGCCAACACAGCCTCTTTGCCGCCGGCATCCCGCAGGGCGAACATGGCTCGATAGCGGTCAAAGAGTGGCTGGGCTTCGTCCAGCAGGACCCCCCGCAGCCGCCCCACGTCACGCTCTTCGGCTGGAGGAGCAGGGTCCACGGACAGGTAGGGCCCGGCCACCGCCGGCTCCCCGTGGTGCTGCTGCAGCCACTCGAGCCGCTGGACAGCCAGCTGGCACGTCTCGGCCACCTGCGGGGACAGGGGTGCCCGGGTGGCCGCTGAGGACAGGACGGTGGACACAACGGACCCCCTTCCCCACCGTCGGGGGCTCTAGTCATTCTACACGGAGAGAAAGCGGCAGGGGCTTGTGTGAGGAGGGAGCGACAGGATGGAGGGCCAGGGCGGCTCCACACGGAGGTGATGTGGGAGCGGAGCAGAGACCTGCAGCAGGTGCAGCAGGGAGCCGGGTGCAAGTGGCTGGTGCAGAGCCCCTCACGCAGGGCCGTGCAGAGGGCGAGGCCAGGCCTGATTGTTCAGCCCTGAGAGCTGCACTAAGAACGGGGGGTTCTGTCCTCAAGGTCATTAGGAAACACGAATGCTTTAGGTCTGAAAGAGGTTAGCAGACCTCCGTTCTGCACTCACCCCCGCTGCCGAGAGGAGGCTGGGACTGAGTTCTGGGAGGTGAGAAGCAGCAGGTGAGACACACACACGCGTCCACCCAGAAACCCGCACATGCACGCTCACGCCAACACAGTTCAGGTGGCCAAAAAGTGGGAACACCCCAAATGTCCATCAGTGGGTGAGTGGACAAGATGTGGGCCACCACACACGGGAGTATCAGCTGCAAGCAGGAGCGAGGCGCCCACACGCGCTGTCCTGGGGACGGACCCCGAGCCCACGATGCTCAGGGAGGGAACCAGACACAGAAGGCCACACGGGGTGTGAGTCCACGTGGGTGACACGTCCGGAACAGGCTCATCCGCGGACGGGAAGGGGGCTCGTGGGGCCGGGGGCTTGGCTGGGGGGGGGGGTGACTGCTGATGGGGCGGGGCTTCTTTGGGGCGATGGAATGTTCTGGAATTAGAAGATGGTCGCACACCTCTATGGATGCTCTAGAAGCACTGAAGTGTACCCTTTCAAGGGGTGAACTTTATGGTACGTGAATTACATCTCCGTAAAGCTGTTCCCTGAAGAAGGAAGAAAGGCAGGCAGTGGGGAGACCTGGGAGAGGCCAGGCAGCCTGGGGCAGCGGAGGCAGACACAAGTGGGTGGGCTCAGTGGGACCCTGGCGCAAGGACTGGACAGGGCGGGAGGGGAGAGGCAAGGCGGGTCAGCCGGGCAGGGTTTAGTGTGGGAATCAGTTTGGTTTTGCCGAACGGAGCCATGGCCTGGGACCACCCTGGCTGCTGCCCTCTCTCCGAGGTCCCTGGCCAAGTGGTCGCCCTGGCAACCAGACACAGGGGGAGGCTGGTCCAGGTGGGGGCGGGAGGAAGGGATCAGGCCACGGCACCTCGATGACAGGGTCGGTGGAGTACTGCTTCAGGACTTCCAGGACGTCTGGGTTCCCGATGGCCCCCAGGGCCTCGCCTGAGAAGAACCACACAGACAGCTCACGGTTGGTTAAGAAATGTCACGGATACCGCGGGGGGTGGGGGGGGGGTACGACCAGCAACACCACCTCCTTTGTTGCTCTCCCCCTACCCCCCGCCACGGCTCTGCTTGTATCTGTGACCCATGGATTGGAGCTGGAGCGTGAAACTGGGCTGGGACCCCCCACTCCCACCCCTGGGCCCATGCCCCTGTGCTCGTGGTCTAGGTGGGGAGACACTGACAAGCACGTCATGACAACTCTGAGACATCGGTTAACATGGAGCCCCAAGAACACCCGGGTGAGTAGAGCTCGTCGGGGTGAGCCCCAGAGGAGGTTTTACGCTGCAGTGTGAGAGAGGAAGGTCAGCAGAGCAAGGCGGGGCTTGGTGGGGGAGCCTGACCGTCTCCCTGTAGGTCCCCATGAGCCCCCATGGGCCCATACTGGCACGGAGTGGGAAGAGACCCACGGCCAGCAAACACCCACGCCACCCTCAATCCCTCCTCTGCTTTGCAAGTGGGTGGAACACGCTGCTGCCCACAATCAAGAACATCCTAATGGGGGCGCCTGGGTGGCTCAGTTGGTTAAGCGACTGCCTTCAGCTCAGGTCATGATCCTGGAGTCCCGGGATCGAGTCCCACATCGGGCTCCCTGCTGAGCAGGGAGTCTGCTTCTCCATCTGATCCTCTTCCCTCTCGTGCTCTCTATCTCTCTCATTCTCTCTCTCTCAAATAAATAAATAAAATCTTTAAAAAAAAAAAAAGAACATCCTAATGGAACTGATTCCGGGTCAGGTCTGCCCTCCTTGCCGGCAGCCGTCCAGGGCTCCCATCTCCCTCAGGGTAAAAGCCCAAGTCTTCCCTGAGGCCCCCCCAGGCCCTGCAGGCCCTGCCCCTTGCCCTTCCCTCCTCCCTCTCTCCCCGTCACTCCCTCTGCTCCAGCCACAGGGGCCTCCTTGCCACTCCTCCAAGGAGCAGACAGGGTATGGTGTCAGGACGTCTGCACAGGCTGCATCCTCTGCCTGAAGCACCTTTCTCCAGATAACTGCCTGCCTTCATTCAGATTTCTGTCCACTGATTAAAAAGGTAACACCTCTGACACCCTCATTCTACTCCCTGCTTTATTTCTTCCTTAGCACTTACATGTTTCCACCATCACCCGACAAGGTGTTCTGCGATACCACACACTCAGAATAGCAGAACTCACGGGAAAGGTGAGGCGTGGAGGAGAACATTCTTGGTAAGGAGAGCTCCAACAAAAACAGTGACTGGCACACTGAGAGTTACCTGGGGCAGCCTGGGGACAGGGGGAGGCTCAGCAGAGCTGGAGACTACTTCAGGGAATAGGAGAAATGCCTAAAAAGAGTAAGATGGAAACAGAGCCCTGCCCCGCCCCCATCTGCAAAGCAGCTCACTGGTTATAGAGACAGCCTCAACAGCACCGGCTTGCCACGGAATTTACTCATCTCTCTTGTTTCCGGTGTCCCTCGAGATAACAGGGCCTGGTACACAGCAGGTGCTCAATAAACACTGGCCCAGTGAATAACACGAACGAATGAAACAGATATCAGGGGCTGGCGAGCTCGCCACCTGGTTTTATATTAGCAAAAGATGGTTTCTAACTTTTTATTTTTTTTCTTTTTAAAGATTTTATTTGTTTGACAGAGAGAGCGAGTGTGCACAAGCAGGGGGAGCCGCAGCAGGAGAGGGAGAAGCAGGCTCCCCACCGAGCAGAGAGCCCTACACGGGGCTCGATCCCAGGACCCTGGGATCATAACCTGAGCTGAAGGCAGATGCTTCACTGACTGAGCCACCCAGGTGCCCGGTTTTTATGTTTTTAAACGTCTTTTTTAGGGGCACTTGGCTGGCTCAGTCAGTAGAGCACATGACTCTTGATCTTGGGGCCCTGAGTTCCAGCCCCACGTTGGGTGAAGAGATGACTTAAAAATAAAACCTTTAAAAAAAATCCAACGGATGGCATTTCCCGATGTGTGAAACTTAACGTAGAACTCAAATCTGAGCGCCCATAAAGTCCCACCGGCACGTGGCCATGCCTCTCTGCGGAGGGTAGTTTGCCGCGGCTTTTAATCACGAGGGCAGAGTTGCGTCTTGGCAACAGGGACTGTCTGGCCCATGGGGCTGAACATTTTACCACCTGCCCTTTATAGGGAAAGCCTGCCAAGCCCTGCTAGAACACGCGGGAGGGAAAGGGGGCACGTGAGGCAGAAGGGATGCGGCGGGGAGTGTGTGTGGAGGTCAGACGTCCCCTCCCCGGCCACTCACCCGCTTCGTGGCGCACCATGGGCTCCTGGCGGGTGTCACGCAGCACATCCAGCAGCACGGGAATGGCCCGGGAGTCCTGCATCTGGCCCAGGCAGTAAGCCAACTCGTGCTTGAGCAGGGCAGAGTCGTCGCCAAAGGCCCGGCTGATCCAGGTGATGGCTCCGGGACCACCGAGCCCGCGGAGGGTGAAGAGTGCCCGGAAGCGGGCCTGCAGGGGCTGCTGGGGGTCCACCAGCATCTGCCCGATTGCCTCCACCTCCTGCTCTGTCACCATGGCGTCGCCGGCTGCCTCCTGCCCACGGGCCCAGGCCTTCTGCAGCCCCACCTGCACCGAAACCAGGGCCTCCCGGGCACAAGAACCTACAGGCAGAAAGGCGAGAGGTGTTTTCCATCCACTCGTGGATTTGTTCATTTACGAGTGAGGAGAAGCAGCGTGAGCAGAAAGCTGAGAGCGGCTCCTCCAGCCCCGGTCCAGCCTTCAGCTGAAGCAGCCCCGGCCGATGTCCCCACTGCGACCTCACGAGAGATCAGAGCCGAAAGCACCTAGCTACAAGGCCCAGATCCCTGGTCCACCCAAACTGTGGGAGACAGCGTTCGCTGTTCTCAAAGCTGCTAAGTGTGGGGTGATTTGTTACAGGACAGGTAATTGAGGCGCAAATCCTTTCAGCATGTAAACCGGACCCCTGCCTAATCGTCCTATGGCACCTCGTTATTCCAAACTCCCTCACAGTCCCAAAGGCTCTGTGTGACCTGCCACCCCCCCGCCAGCCCTCCCCTCCTACCCCCCTACCCCTCGCTCACTCTGCTTCAGCCACACGGGCCTCCTGGCTCTTCCTCCAACACACCAGGCCCAGTCCTACCCCAGGACCTTTGCATGGGTCGTTCTCTTCCTCAGGAACACTGTTCCCCAAATGCCTCCCATGCTCACCCTCTCACTTGCTTGGGTCTCAAATGTCACCTTCTCAGGGAACCCTTCCCTGATCACAGTTGTCATTGTTACTCTCTTCCCTTGTTCTACTTTTCTTCAAAGCACTTACCACCACGAGATATATAGGACGTTTACCAGTGTAGCTGTGTATGGTCGGTCTTATCTCTCATCAGAACTCTGAAGGCAGGGACCGAGTCTATCTTAGTCACCACTATACTCCCAGCAGTCCGTAAGCCTTCAGTGAAAACAGCCCTACCAGTAACAGCAGCTGACATTTACAGAGGACCTACTAAGTGCCAGGCCCCTCTGCTAAGCCCCTCACACTCACGAACTCATTTACCTTTCCCCATAAACATATAAGATGGGCACCAGGCTTGTCACCTTTCTACAGGCGAGAAAGCAGACACACAGAGAGATTAATAACTTGCTTACGAACAGCGTGAGGAGTTATAAATCCAGCGAGCTGGGCTCCAGAGTCAAGCTCTAAACCACAAATGCTGTGTTGAGTGGATGCACTGACACAAAATGACACAGCCTAGGCTGGGAGGTGGGGCTCCATCTCTATCCTCTGGACCAATGAAGACCTGGCGGACGCTTCATAAAGCGTGCTGTGGCGTGCTGCAGCGTCAGCAGGGCTGACTGGGCTTCATGAGGGAGGTGCAGCTGCCTGAGCAGGGGTGACCACCAAGGGAAGGAGAACCAGAAACCACAGAAGCCAGGAGTGAAGGAGCTGGCAAGGTGTTAGGGGCCCTGAGCTCTGACTCTGCTACAGAGATGAGCAGTAACTTGTGTGGGCTCACACAGCAAGTCAAGGGCAAACAGGACCCAGGAGTCCTGACTCCCGGCTCTGCAGGGTCGTCCTCAAGACACCCGGAGAAGGCCCTTCATCGCCTACTCATCCCCAGAGTCCTTAAATTCCTGGGAATGAGGGGAAATCTGGCCAACAAGGCAGCTCCAGCTACGGGAGAGGAACACGAGGAGAAAATACGCTGCAGATCTCCAGGGCAAGACTTGAACTGGGGCAAAAGTCTCTGGGCTTGGTTTCTGCATTTGGAATAAAACTATTAATAGCTCACAAGTCAGGTTTCCTTCTAGTCTCTGTTCAGATACTCAGTGTGCAGGCAGGAACTCTCTGAGCACCCGGATGTAGACATGCAAACCTTCCGTGCCCTGCACTCCCATTGTGGCGGCTTCAGTGATCCACGCGGCATCTAACAGCACCTAGTGTCCAGTATATTTCACTGATCAGTTTCTTACTATAGAAAGTAAGGAAGTAAGGGCCGGGAGGACAGGACTTCATATATATATGTGTATATATATACACATAAATAAAAAGAAATCTGGGGGCGCCTGAGTGGCTCAGTTAAGCTTCTGCCCTCAGCTCAGGTCTTGATCCCAGGGTCTGGGATCGAGTCCCGCATCAGGGCGGGGGTCCCTGCTCAGTGGGGAGCCTGTTTCTCCCTCTCCCGCTCCCCCTGCTAGTGCACGTGCACTCTCTCTCCTTCTGTCAAAGAAATAAAATCTTTTTAAAAAATAAAGAGAGGGCGCCTGGGTGGCTCAGTTGGTTAAGCGACTGCCTTCGGCTCAGGTCATGATCCTGGAGTCCCCCACATCGGGCTTCCTGCTCAGCAAAGGAGCCTGCTTCTCCCTCTGACCCTCCCCCCCCCATGTACTCTCTCTCTCTCATTCTCTCTCTCTCAAATAAATAGAATCTTTAAAAAAAAATAAAAAAATAAAGAGAAATCTATTACACACACACACACACACACACACAGGTATCTATATTACTTTGTTCACTGCTGGGTCCCCAAGGCCTAGCATGGGATTTGTCACCATGGCAGGAGGTGCCCAATCCGTATTTGAGTGAACTGAACACCCACTGCACACCAACCATGGTACTAAGCTCTTCATACACAGTGTAAATCCGTATTATTCCTAAAATGGGTAAAAGGGGCACGTGGACCTCACAGTTACTGCGAATAAAGGTGTGCTCATGGAGGGGCGCCTGGCTGGCTCAATCAGTGGAGCGTTCTACTCTTGATCTCAAGGTTGTTAGTTCGAGCCCCACAGTGGGCGTAGAGATTACTTAAAAATAAAATCTTAAAAAAAAAAAAAAAGAAGAAGAAGAAAAAGATGGCGTGTTCATGGAGCACCTTATACGCACTTGACAAACCAGAGCTGGTATTAAATATTCTTGCAGGGAGCCCCAAACCCACCTCTCTGTACTCAGGAGGGAGCACCGAGCCTCCTGGAAGCCCACAGCTCATAAAAGCACCTAGCTACAAGGCCCAGATCCCTGGTCCACCCAAACTGTGGGAGACAGCGTTCGCTGTTCTCAAAGCTGCTAAGTGTGGGGTGATTTG